AATATATTTATTTATTGTTTGTGTTAATTATATAATTGTACACATATATGTATATATAAGTATTTTTTTTCCTATAGACATTTACTAAGCAATCGTTGTTGTGTTTGTTGTATTGTAAATCCTTTTGAAATTTAAATATTTTATTAATTTTTACTGAAGCTGCTATAAAATTAATGCACATTTTTTTGGTCGGTCCGATATACGATGACGCAGACGCAGACGCAGACGCAGACGTCGAGTTTCTGGGGAATAGATGCACACTGACTTCTCTTCGCAACTAATTTCTTAACTCATATCGCATGATCACAAACGAATCGAATGTGAACTGATTATTACCAATAAATTGATGAAACTTTATTGTCTGTTCGTAGACGGCGGCGAAAGGCTCAATTTCGCTGTAAAGGAATTCTAAAGGGCTGCTATTTGCGTTAACGTTCGCTCTCTATCTTAACATATAAATAATGTAATTTCTTAGTCATTTCCGTGTAACATTATCTATGATGCTATTGAAAATGCAAAATCGTTTTAACTCAGGGCCTGGCTTAACTTAGACTTTGTACACGATCCAAAATAATCATTATTTATTTATTATTTCGTTAATAATAATGTGTTTTGATGTGGGTGACGGGTTTTTCTATAATATGCAAATATACATATCAAAAGTTCATATAGATTATTTATATTTTACTTACAATTTTAAATCAGACTTTAGTCGCTTGAGCTACAACTTTTCTATATCCTTCGTCGAAGCTTGATAACTCATAGAAGTCGTTAAACTTAGCAAATGGAATTTAAACAAATGAAAACTGGAAACACTACATTAGAACATAGCACATCATTAAATATGCAACACCAACCCAACACTTATTCATATAATCACTTTTCAAAATAATGTGATAGATGAGAAGCGGTCGAAAATGTGCACCGATCCAAAATAATTTTAATAGCGTTCGTTCTTTGGCCAAAACACGCAAGTGTATCAAATTATATCAAAACATTTAAAAAATTGTGGCCTTTATGTCGAATACAACAAAAAAAAAAAAACAAAAAAAAAAAAAAAACAGGTAGACGGACAGACAAGGTTAGATCCAAGGTGAATCTGCTTCAAATTCTACTGGGTGTTGCAAACATTCGCATAAACTTAATATACACTTGTAGCATAAGTGATATAAGATTTGGAAAGGCAAAGAGGGAAACTTTTAATATATTTTTCTCAAATAATTTGAATCTAGAACACGTATCGTTAATTCATTTGCTTACACTTATTGCTATCTTTTCCACTTGTCGTCTCTGAATCCTTATATACAAGAAATTAATATAGAAAACTGATCACAAATAGATACAAATATATATTTTTTGCTTAAATCTTACTACATATGTATGAAAGTGCGTAATTGATTCGCCAAAAAAAATAAAAAAATAGATAAATAAATAAATAGCGTTCAAAGAGTCTGAAAATTTCAAAGGATACTCGCGCCTATAAATTTTAGCCCGCATTAGATGTCGTTATGAAATTTTGTTCGAATATTTATTTTTTATTTGTTATGTTTTTTATTTTTGTAACTTTTAATTTACTATCATTTTGGTTTTTGGTTTTCAGCATGTCGCAACTAGACACTCAGATAAGCATCAAAATATTTCTAATGCACCTCAGCAAAGGTTGGTTGATTGGTTCGTAATTGCGTAAAATGCACTATAATTTCGATGCATGTATTTTAGTTTCTTGTATTTGTATACTAATACTATATATATATATATATATATATATATATATGTATGTATAGATAAACTTAATATATATATATATATATATATATATACATATACATATATGAACGTGTAAATATATAAACATATGTAGATTTGTAAAAACTCTTATGTCTTCCACCACTTTCCCGATATAATTAATCGAGATTTTGGTAAACGTTATGCCTTTAAGCCCTAAAGAGCTATACAAGTTTGTTTAGGCTAAATATCGGACCATCGAGGTGGTTGACATATAAATTAAAAAGTTCCATGCTCGCTTGTTTTTTCAATTATTTTTCTCTTCTGGCTTTGTCGATTGAAATCGAAAAATAATAATTAGAAAAGCTTTTAAAGTTTATGTGTGAATTAAATTGTAAATTAAATTAAATTCGTACAAATTATATTGATTTAGTTTTATATCGCGTCAAACGTTAAGCAAAGTCGATCGTGGTCGCATTCATCCGGCAGCCGATGCAGCTGCTATGGCTTTAAGCGCTGACTTAGGTAACCGTGACGACTTTGATGATGAGTACGTAGCTGCTGTTTTTCTCAGTTATCGGCAAAAGAACATATACTTATTTACATATTATTGTGAATGATTGCAGCGCAGTGACCGAAATTAAATTACGACCGAACGCGCCGGTGATTGAAATTTTTGAGGTTATGAAGCATCCTGTTAGTGGTGTAGGCTTCATATCTCAAACTCAAAGCCTTCCTTCATGCACATTCGTTTCGTATGATGCTTTATTATGGCTTAAAAATCGTCTCGATAATAATTGTAATCCTCTAGCGATATTGGAAGCCATGAGAAAGTAAATTTGATATTTTTTTTGAAAATGAAATGAGCAAATATAAATAAATTGATTGCTTAATAGAGAAAAACTGATTTGTCACGCCTCGGGAGATTGGAATAAACCAGTGATACCCGGTTTCTATTTGTATTATATTGCGCAACAGGATAAAAACTCGAAAGATTATATACGTCCTCTAAATGATTTAACCGCATTTGAGAATGAATGGATGGAAATTGAGGTACAAGGTTGTGATAATTTATGGTTCGACGATTTTCCAACATCAAATGTACCCAATTTTCTTAAGGAAGTGCCAACACCTCAATTATGGACAGATTATTGCAAAAATGGCAAGTAAAATCGATTTGTTTTTAATAACTAACTACAATAAAGGGGATGATTTCGTTTGTCTCTCTATATATATGATATAGAAAAAGTTTATCGTCATTCTCATCTCGAAATTGATGTGAATCAGAAGAGCGAACGTATGGAATGGGGACATGTAAAATATCATACCGTCATACAGGCTGGTTATGCTTTTGAAATCGTTGTAGAATGGGTAACATCATCGGGACCTATCGTTTGGGATTTGGTAAGTAAATAGCATATGAAAAACGTAAAAATTTTTTAAAGACAAAATTAATATATTTATATATTCAGATTAATGGTTGGATCCGTAAGGCAAATCAATGTAACTATCAGTTAGTGGCAATACCAGCTGATCCCATGGCCGAGCCATTTACAGAAAAATCAGATCCTCTAAGAGGACCCATATTTATTCCTTTATCAATGAATTTCCTTAACAATGACGACAACTTATTTGAAGGTTTTTCTTATAATCTTGAATGAATTTTATAGAAATATATATATATATATATATATATATGAATAATTTTTTCAATAGAATTTTTGGAGGAAACTAGAGCCGATCGTGTCTTACTCTTTCAGGAGGCAATTTTAACACGTTTCGGCTTTTTGCCTTGTGTTATCGAAAAGAAATATATGAACAAAGACGTAGGCGAATTAAATTTTATATTTAACAATTCATTTATTATCGTAATCATTATAATTAATCGTTTTAGGTGCCAAAAGAATATCAATATGTTCACTGCTCGGGTAATATGTTTGCGCTTATACGGTATGTCCTTTACATTATACCGTTATGTTAATTTATCAAATCATTTGTTTGCTGCTGTACCCCCCTTTTTGCATGCAGTTGTTCAAAAAATACGAAATATCAATTCGGCTCACCAAGTCGCCAAGAGGCGAACGTTACTCGTTGCGTTTATGGTCATACGAATAATACCAATGTTCCTAAAAAGGTTTGCGAAATTTTTGAAAACATTTCAATGTTCATTAAGTCAACTTATTTCAATACATTTCATTAGGTGGGTTTTCTTTGGGCGTGGAATCACATGATACCTAATAAGAAATGGAAATCGCTGACCATAAACAATTCGCCGGATGGAGAATTGTTTCAATTGAAAATGCTTAGAGATTTTCGTGACTTTTGCTCGAACAATGACAATCGATTGGCACAATTTTGGCATCACAGTCAAGAACTCAAGCGCAAAGCCCTAAATCTTGAAAATTCTTATATTCAAAATGCGGATGTAAAAATCATTTAATTTTATTACAAAAAAAAAAAAAAAAAAAAAAAAAAAAAAAAAA